GATTACGATTTTGGTAAAGGATATTGAATATGCATTGGCTGCTTATAGAACGAACACATCTGATTTGAAATCACAGCCAGGATGCTCCTTGGAAATTGGCTAAACTTCAGCTCTTGTACTTGGGACTTGTCGGGATGGATCAATCCCTGGAGAACAACATCACAGCTGATAAAGTGAAGGAATACTGAAAAAGACAACCAATGAGATAGATTGACACATTTTCAGCAACAATGGGCTCAAACAAATCAGATGTGAGGATGATGCGATGTCTTGTTTTGTTATATGTAGGGTCCCTCTGAGTCTGAACCAATCCACAGTACCTAACTACGACAACAGCAATCTGTTACACTTTGACATGGGCAGTACTTTTTCTTAAGTAAACTTTTGAGGCTGTTCTCTTAGATTGTTACCAGAGAATGTTTTCTCACTCACGTCACGTGGTTCTGTTTCTAATCAGATACTGTTGAATCCATCCTGAGACAGGAATTCCACAGAAGAGAATAGAACTGTCCCATGATGTTCCCAAGTCGGCTTCCTGGAACCTCATCTATCCTCTATAGAGTGGTTGTCAGTTCAAAGCACCATCATTTTGTGTAGCAGTAGACCTTCTTCTTGTACTTTCCTTTAAAATTAAATTTTAAAAATAGTTTTAATGTTTTGAATGGAAGAGTAGGTAGTAAATTAGGTCCACCTTAGCAAATTATTCTGTGACCTTGACTACAAAATGAGTCAGGATTCTCAGTTTTTCCTTTCAGACTGTTCTGTTTCCACTGGTGTAGTTTCTCATGCTATACAGATGTCCATGTACGAATGTATCCGCTCTACTACCTGATCACACCCAACCCTTGAACCACACCTACCTATGAGTCTCTTTCATATTTCTCCAGCTAAACATTTTGCTTTGTTTTTTTTCATTCACCCACAGAATGTACCGGCATCAAGAACCACATGCATCATCTTCACCACGGAATGAGAATCATCAACAGGAAGAAACCATTCCTTGTTCCTCTCTATGTCATCTTTCTCTCATGGAAGACACGTTGCCTTCCTCACTTCCTCTTTCTTGGTCACATTTTATGCCCTTTGTATTGTTACTAGATTTCTACACATCTAAATAAATGGATTTACTCCATACACTGTCTCTGGGTGTCTGTGCAAAGAAGGGATTAAATATGAGGACCAACAAGTGTCCACATTCAATAAAGCTATTAATAAAGCATGTCTATCATGAATTTGATGGCCTATTGTGTCTATCATGAATTTGATGGCCTATTGGAGATAAGGTTGATTAGGATTGGAGAGAGACTTCTTAGAGGTATCCAGGTGAAAGAGGATAAAGAGTCTAAGACATCATGTGAGATGTTTTACTAAATGAGGGCATTTGTACCAACATCTGTAAGAAGCATCCTCTTCGGCATGAGTTCAGGGGATAACTTGCGTATGACTCTTGGTAGATTAGACAGAGAGAAAATAGCACATACTGAAATTAAGGGCACACTCCTGCTACTATACCACCATCACATGTGAAACTGGGTGGGAGAACTGATATTTGGTGGTAATAGAATAAATAGCAATCAAGGATAGGACAATAACCAACCAAGATCTAAATTAAACACCTGAAGGGTGACTACAGATCATAGTCTTCAAGGTTCTACCAAGTCTATATTTGACCAGTCAGCCTGTTTTTTGTTTTGTTTTGTTTTTTTAAATGATTCTGCGTTTTGTTTCACATTGTTTTCAGACTCTGTCTCAGATCTTCTAATGTGATTCCCTTCACAGAGCATTTGGTAATGGTAGTCAGTACCTTCTATTTCTTCTGGTCTCAGTGTCATGGAGACAGATGATCATGTGATCCATTCATGCGCTTTACTGACTGTTTTCATGTGTTGTCTTAAATTTTCATCACTCTTCTTTTCTCTGGATGGTGAAAGACAAATACAATAGTTACCCTTAGATGGATATTCACTTGTTTTTAGACCCTAGTTGCTATTCAACAAAGCAGGATTTGAAACAGTATCTTTGTGGACTGGGTTATGGCATAGATCTTTCTTTCCTTGTAAAAGAAACTTTTGGAAGAAATCTTTTGTTGTTGCTTAATGTCATCCAGTTGTTTCCAATTCATAGCTACCTTATGCACAACAAACATACATCTTTCTTTCCTCCAAGAAGGAACTTTCTGGAAGAGATGTGGTTGTTAGATGGTGTCCAGTTTGTTCCAACTCATAGCAATCTTATGCACAACAAAACAAAATGTTGCCTAGTCCTGTGCTACCCTCAGAATTGTTACTCTTGAGTTCATTGCTGCTGCCACTGTGCCAATCCATCTCATTGGAGGTCTTCTTCCTCTTCATTGACATGCTACTTTACCAAGAATGACGTCCTTCTCCAGGAACTGCTCACTCCTGATAACATGTCTGAAGTATGAGAGATGAAGTCTTGTCATCCTGACTTAAAGGAACATTCTGGCTGTACTTCTTCCAACAGAGATTTGTTTGTTCTTCTGACAGTTCATGGTACTTTTAATATCCTTTGCCAACACCATCCTTCAAATGCATCTATTCTTCTCCTGCCTTTCTGACTCATTGTACAGCTTTCACACACAAATGAGGAAAATATCATGGCTTGGCTCTGACCCACCCTAGTCCTCAAAGTACTATCAGTCATATTGTTGTCGTTACTACATCTAGTAAGGTCTGACTCATGATGCTCATGTATATGGTTTTTGAGGAGCAGCTGGTTGTTTGAAATGCCAGCCTGGAGGTTCACAGTCTAGTGCCGATCCTACAGCGCCACACTAGGAGTCCATCAAAAGCCTTGTAAATAATGTTTTTGAGACTTATCCCCATGAACAAGCTTGCTGAAATCAAGAAACTCCTGGTCCCAGCAAAGTTATATTAATGTTTACATCTCAAATAAACTCTCTCATATTCTAATGATGGGCTGTATTAAATTACACATGAAAACACGTCCACTCTACCACCTGACCCAGACCCAGTCTTTGACACATGACCAACTAAATGGTTTGCTCTTATTTTTGCTCACCTGCAAATCATACCTGGATTGGCAAAGTGGCACCATCAATGGGCTCAAGTGTGGCAACAATTGTGAGGTTGGCCCAGGACCGGGCAGTGTTTCATTCTGTTGTGTATAGGGTCACTATGACTCGGTACCAATTCGATGGCATTTAACAGCAACAACAAATCATACCGGTATCAAGAACCACATGTATAGTCTTCCCCATGGAACGTGAATCATCAATAGGAGGACACCATTTTTTGTCTTTCTATAGCTAATCTCCCTCTCCCAGGAGACTTGTTCCCTTCCCCACTTCATCTTTCTCCATCAACATTCACATCATTTGTGGTGTCACCAAAATTTGACCTCTCTAAATAAATCAGATTTACTGCTTCTACTGTCCTTGTGTGTCTGTTCAGAGAATGGATGAAACCTACGCGCCAAGAAACATCTACTTTCAACCAATCTGTGGAAGCAGGGATGACGATCACGGAATTGATGGCTTATTGGAGACAATGCTGGTTAGGGTTGGAGAGAGAATTCTCAGAGGCACCCAGGTGAGAAAGGTGAATATTTTACATAGGGTCATTAAGACTTAGAACCCACTCAATGACACTCAACAGCAGTAATGATATTCCAAAATATAAACGCTTCTGGTATTTCTACCGCCGGATACTGTAAAGTATACTTCTCGCCCCAGCGACTTGAGTATCCCAACTCCAAACATTTCCTTTGTTCTTTTTTCTAACGTCTCTCTGTCTCATCTATAGTAAGTATATCATTGGAAACTTACCTAAGAATCCTTCTGCATATTACTCAGATCCAATTGGTCTACCCATCAAAGCCTGTTAGGAGTTCCTGTTAAGTGTGAGAGACCTTAAGCAGGTAATAAATAGAGCTGCTTAAGGTGTCTCATACGTAAAAGGATTTTCCCCCTAAGCTCTTTGCTCTCTACTTTTATTGTATTTCTTCCAGCACCAGTTTATTCCTGGAGTAATTACTTGAATGTATACCATTTATTTTCCTAAGAATGCTTTCTGAGAAACAACTTACAAGTAGGAAAATGAACAGATTTCAACTGCATTTCCCATTTAATTTTGTTGTGTGTGTACAGCGGTGGAACTCAAAACCCATCACTAGAAAACCCATTACTGCCAGCCAGAAAATACCCTCACAACCTCCTCCAAAAACAACAACAACAACAACAACAAAAAAAAAACCAACCTATCCAGAAGCAAACATTGATCACAGAGTTATAATGTGCCAACCTCACGTCTTCATAAGACTTAAATTAACAGTAGCATTGTAAGATAAACCGCAGGACCATGAGGTCGGTTTGAAACACAAGGTCTATGGTTCAAACCCACCAACTGGTCCTCAGCAGTCCTATACAGGTTGCTATGAATTGGAAGAGACTTGATGGCACTTAAAAACAAAAACAATTCTTTTGGCTAAAAAATTCTGGTGTCCAAACTCAATACCTGCTTCTTGGACACTATGCTGAGTTGCTATGAGTCGGAACTGACTCCCTGGCTCTAAGCAACAAGTCTTTTGGTTAATTTATGCACACACTCATACACAGGTTCCATTAATGGGTTCCATTTTAATGTTTTATTGAGAATTATGTGATAGTTTACATGGGAGAT